CATGTGTGTTGAGGACAGAAAGGCAGACGTGGCAGTGGAAGGTGTCAAAGCAGTTTGGAGAGAAAAACAAAGTAAAGAACAAAAAAAAAAAAAGATTAATCGATTATTAAATTAGTCATCGATTATTTTAAAAATCTATTAGTCGTCGATTAATCGATTAATTATGGCAGCCCTATGTGTGAACACCTTGTTACACGCTCACACTTTTTTACCTTTAACTTACGATGAGTCATTTTAAGGCAAACAACCTGAGTGACCTTTGTTCTCTGCGGGGTTACGTGAAGTTGCTTTCACTTCCTATAGTAATGTTGGCTACAATGTATGCAGGTCCTTCAGGGTTTGCATTGACTGAGCAGCTTTTTTGTGGTAGAAATATGAGTCACAGTGAGACAACGTAGCTGCTGCTGCTYGGCAGTGAAAACAGGCTGCACTTTGAAAAAAAAAAAGGTTGAACAGCTGAAGAAACACAGCTTCAGTATGAGCAACTATAACATGTGTGTTTGCATGTCTGTGGTCAAGTGTGCCTTTCACCTCGTTGCACCTCGCAGCAAGCCTTTAGGGGAAATTATGTTGCATACTGCAAGTACGGGATTAACAAACACCAAAGCACAGAGGACTAAGACAACAATTTGTCAACCAACACTGCAAACGTGTTGGTTAATGTTTTTGTACTTTGTCATACTTTTTTCTGTAAACCAGTTTACCAAGAATTACCAAATATCAAATAGTATTTTGTGTAAAATGTAACAGTTTTTGTTCATTATACAGTGAAACTTAAAAGGGTAACCAGCAGTATTAACAGATGGGAGCTTTAATCTCACATTAGCAGCTATTAAACCATAAAAAACACGTACATGCACTTCCCCTCCACCGTGCAGCTGATTCTGTCTCATCTATCTCACAGCCTTGAACCACCTCACTTCACTTCTTTTTTTTAGCMTTGAATAACAAAGTTGAAAAATATGCCAGCTTTGAGAGCACAGTTTAAAGACAAAAATATCTACATTTAGATTAAAGTGCCTGTGACATGACTATCCTTCAGTGACAAAAAGTAAAAAAAAAAAAACTTTATTCTTAAGAAAATTGTCATAATACACAAGATTTTACACATTTTGTCTCATAACTGGCCTATATTCTTTTGGATTTGGCTCAGCCAAAGTGAAACAGGAAGTGACATCAAAGGAAAACTCATTAATAAAATAAACTCCCTGATCTGTGTTTATTAAAACATTATTTAAACTTTAACTCTTCTTCATTTCTCTTTGATAGAAACTCAAAATAATCTAAAGAAACATCAAGATTCTTCTCTACAGTCTGTGCTGTTAGCTGTTGTAACAACGCTGTGTTTACATGCAGACGTTCCCCTTTGACATCACTTCCTGTTTCTTCACATGTAAATATCTCAACAACTGTTCATCTCAGTGACGTGAAATTTGTTTTGCAATATTTTATCAATGTTGCCTTTCCAAACATGCATTCACGTTTAGTCCAAAAACTGATGTCACGGGCTCTTTAATATTTTATGGGACATGTTGGAGTCAAAAATGTGTTAAAACGTTTATTTTTGCAGTGCAGAAGTTAACATAGTGGATTTTCTTTTTTTTTGTAATTAGGAAATTAGTAGTTTGGATGTTGCACACGATTTGCAAAGAAATAAACAAAAAAAAAATCACAGAAAAGGTGTGATTCACAGGCAAGTATGTGCCAAATAAAAGAAGTTTACTATTCAAATGGCAAGGATTTTCACATTGATTCAGGCAAATTTTAGTACAATAGACATCCAGTAATTATGTTTGTTTTTAATAATGCAGCTTGGTGCTAAAGTACATCTTAACAGTAAAGAAACATAACTTGTCAAGAGTTATTTATTTGGTAACAACTTGTTTTCTGTGTTTTTTAAAATTATTTATTAGGATTCCTGCTTGTCCAAGCTGAAGAGGAAAAGGTTGGTGCCCAGTTTATGGATGAAGTGCTGATCTACAAACTCACGGCTGCACAGAACAATCGAGGAGGAGGAGGAGGAGGAGGAGGAGGAGGAGGCCCTTGGTTTGCAAGGATCCCATCACCAAGTGGCTGAGTGGGGGTGTTTATTAGCACTCTGCACTCAGAGTTGTCGAGGTGGGTTTTTTGAGACAGCTGCAAAAAAATAAAATAAATAAAAATAAAATAAATAGATAAAGAAATAAAATAAAATAATAAAGCAGATAATTTAGGGGTCCAAGCCCGCAGAAGCAGGTGAACGCAGCTGCAAATGTATRACCACTCACATGGAAGATTAGGGGGAGATTTGTCTCTCCGAGGGGGAAAATAAAAATGAAATGTTCAGAAACGAATCAATTCTTTTCACAATCATTACAATTTACTCCTCTCTTGATTTGCCTGTGTGTGTGTGTGTGTGTGTGGCGTCTGGGCATGCACATGCCAGCGCAAATCTCCCACAGCAGCTCACGTTCGTGCAGCACGTCTGTCTGAGTGAGCACTTCTTTTTTTTTACAGAATCTCCAGCTTTTCTCTCCCTCCTCTCCCTCTGTCTGCTGTTCCCTCCGCCTCCTCCTCTCACTCCGTGTGAGCGTAGTCTGGGCGCCAAGCCAAGTGGAGTGCGTTTTTTTTGAATGAATACCTGATGCGGCTGATGAGGTTGGCTGGGGGGGAGGAGCTGTGTCAGTGGAGTACTGCGAGAGAAAACTGGAGGGAGGGGGAAAGGAAGGGAGGCAGAAACACAGAGAGAGAGAGAGGAGACCGAAAAGCAACCAGGCAGAGAGGGAGCTGGCGGACCGGTGGCCTTGCATAACACACATTTGGAGCAGCTTTGCACACAGGACTTGGTGAGATCTCTCACCAGGAGGGAACTTCCCTTTCTCGCTCTTGTTGCAGGGACGGTGCAGCCTCGAAAACGGGAATCCACAGAGAGCTCGGAGCAGCTTCTCAGAGCAGATAACCAGGTTTGGAGAGCGGCACAAAGGAGAGATTCAGGAACAGGAGTCCGAGGACTCCGACGCTCACTGACAGGGAGGAAAGGATCCTGGGCTGTGCTCTGCAAGCAGTGGCTGTGGAGAGACTGGTGAGCTATTCTTAGTGCTTTAACCAGGGAGGGAGGGGAGGGGAGGGAGAGGGGTGTCTTTTCTTCTTGATTTGTGGCATAGTAGTAATTCTGCTCAGCTACTACACTCACACACTCTGTTAAGCCCCCACAGGGACCGGAGTCCCAGCATCTGTCCTCTGATCTGTCCAAAGTCCCGGCCCCAGCTATAGGATTTAGCTGCACTGACCCTTTTTTTTTTGCGGGGGGGGGGGGGGGGGGGCATAAAAACACGTCGAACACGTCTCCGCTACGCCGCACGGCGAAGAGATCCGAGAGCGAGCGGCGATGCAGAACTCAGGAGTCATTGTGAAGACAAACAGCCTGAACCCCGCCGCCTGTTCCCACTGTCTGCTGCCACACGGGCGGTCCGCCTCTTAAAGAGGCAGACGCCACCGTCGCACAGCAGACAGGACGGAAACGTCTCTAGTACGAGGAGAAGCGGGACACTTATTGGTTTGCTTTGTGGCGTTGAAAGCAGATTTACCCGTGAGATGGTTAAGATGACGTCTTAGTGATCAACAGCATAAACGTGCATGGACATACTGTCCTCCACAGTACCCCCCCCCCCCCTTTTCTGTTTCATGCCAGAGCTCAGATTGATAATGGTGTTTTTGTTTTCTATATATAGCCTTTTGCTGTGCAGGGTAATCACTGAGTTCCTATGAGTGGTGTAGCAGGTGACAACGATGCACGGGTGGACTGACAACAGGTTCATCACACAAAGTCGCCTTTATTTGTTGAAACATCACGCAGAGAGCCACATCTCTGAGATAATTGTGGTTTCCTCCCGTACGCCTCCCCACACGGTCCTGCTGCAGAGGAAATGTTGTTTCTGTGAAGTCATAGGAGTTAAAGAAGAGACTGGGAGTAATGGGAGCGGGGTTTGGGGTTGAACAAACTGGCAACTGCAGTATAACTGAGGGGGATGTAACCCTACAGGGTGGTGGTGGGGGGGGGTCCTCTCACCTGGAGGCAGCAGAGAGGAGTGAAATCATCTCATGCAGACACACAAACCTGCCTCTGTAGCCCTTTTTGTGTGCAGGAAAAGAGGGGATCAGACGTTAAGGGTGGGCTTCATCTCCGTGTCTGAGCTGAAAAGCATCAGTGTGACGAGGCGAACAGAGCACGTTCTGTCCCCCCGCTCGGTGTTGTCAGCCCTCTTTACTCGTCTCAGAGGTGTCAGCTCCGAAAGACCGATTCAAGGTTCCCGTGCTGCATCGACCGGTGGGACTGTCACGTCTTCAAAGTGCTCCTTTGTTCTTTGGAGCAACGTTTAAAGCCCGATGTTTGTTGGTGTCACCGCTGCTAATTATAGGCTGACAGGGAAAATCTAGAGAGGATCTTGGCAGCTGATTGTTGTGTGTGTGTGTGTGTGTGTGTGTGTGTGTGTGTGTGTGTGTGTGTGTGTGTGTTTTCATGCCTTCAATGTGCAGATTTGTGGGTTTTAAATCAGTGGCTTTGTGCTGCTTTAAGGATAAGACATGGTTGTGCCTCAGATGTGATGTCATCACATTGTTGACACAGTGTTGCTGAGGTGGGGTTGTTGCCACTGAGCAGTTGCTGCACACTGTAGCTCAGACTGTAGTGGCAGCTGGGCGGCCGAACGGGGATCTCTCAGTGAGGCGGGGGGCAATGGCGCTCTGATGCTGCAGGCACCACTCAATGTGGGTCAGGAAAAGCAGAACTCTTGTCTTCTCTCATCCTCCTCCTACATCTTCTCTCTTTCCTCTCCTGATCTCCTTGTTCTCCTCCCCTCTTTTCACACAGGTCTGCACCTCGCGGTGTGTTTCCTCTTCCCTCCCCGTCGTTCTCCTCTCTTTTGTTGCTGTTCCTCCATCTCTGCTGCTCTCCTCCTTTGTTGCGTTTGCTGAGTCCACCCTGCTGTAAACTGAGCAGAGGTTCTCGCTGCTTTCCGATGCAGTGACCTTGTCGAAACCATCGTCGGAGGGAGATATGTCCAAATGCTAAAAACGAACCAAGGTTTTTATTCCATCTTCTGTATGTACTTAACATGTTTGCATTTGTTTTCTGTAGTGAGTGAGCCCCTGGTGCAAACACATTTAAGCATTGTCAATGGTGTAGTGAAACACTATTGAATTCAATGCACACAAAAAAGTAAATAGAGGAATGTCTATTGCTTGTATACACACACACACACACAATCTGGTAGATTTCTTTGTCGTAACAATGCGTCTTGGCAATACATCTTATACCTTTGGAAAGCGTGTTAATTTCCCATTTAAATGGTGCCACATTTGTACAGAAAATGCATTTACGRGTTGAGCAGTAGAGCTGTGTATGTGGGTTGTGCACGATAAGGTTCCTGCAGATCCTTAAAAAGTCTTAAAAGGCATTGAATTCATCGATCGGCCTTAATTAGCCTTAAAATGTCTTAAACCAATCTTTCAGAGGTCTTAAAAATGTTAACAYACTCTAAACAGGATGACTTTAATTCATCTCAAATATTAAAATACAGCGGGTAAAATAAGTATTGAACA